TTTTAGCTTTCTGCTCAGTCTCTGCGACCGAGCTCCGCACACATACTGGGTAATCTGACTTAGCCAAGTGCTTGGCTTGGTTCAAAAAAGCGCCGTCAACCTTGTGTGTTATAGGACTTCATAAGGGACTCGTTATTAAAACAGAATTGTACAATGGCGCATTTAACGAGCTTTGACTGAGCCGAAGAAAATGGCAAGACGGGCTTGTTGCTTCTTGGCTCGCAACTCCAGCAAACTTTCTCTGATGAAAAGTAGATTCCAAAATATAAAACCTATTGAAATTACCATTGGACACCGCATCAACACCGATGGAGACAGGGTCTCCATGAATGTGGTTGCGACTTGAAACTACACGAGTCATTCTTTAAAATAAAAAATCGTCCACAAATCTGTACACGCACAATGTTAGGGTGATCTTTGAAGCGATCATGAAGAGCCTGGCCACGAGTGGCTAGGTACAAGTCACTGCTAAAATCCATGTTGCTGTTGGCATCACTACGCAATTACAATGATAATATAAAACCTGTTCGTCTGTTTAACGTATGTGTGCGCGCGGGTTTTTACATATATTTAGCGCCACTTCCTAGCATGCTACTCAATGAAAAATAAAACGCATTCACTTTCCATGCGCATGCTCCGATCGCCAAGACTTGATTCGCAAGGTATGTGGGATCTGCGGAATTATTCTTTTCAAGCTTTAAGGGCCAGTCAACAGGCTCCGACTTTTTTCGCATCGACCTTCCCCCTTCCCAAAGAAGGTCGGCAAAAATTAGAGTAGACCACATCGATCACGTTTTCTGAATATTACAGCTCTGCGCGCCGCGGAGAGCCTCGATTTCGAGGAACAATTCCCGCGTTCCGTTCCTACACCTGACCAATCCTCCTTTCACGCGCAGTGACGCAATGCCTCCAATCGGTGACTTGCCGTAGCACGCAGTTAGTCGATTGATCTCAACCAGTCACGACAATGGGCTACGCTTTCCTCTCCTTGTGAAAGAGAACTGTGGTGAGGCCGCACGAAAATTTGAAGCCAGCTGAAACCGATATGCTGACCCCTGTAAGTTCCTTAATAATATAGCACGTATTTGCAACATTCTTGTGGCATAATGATCAGAAGTGCGCATGTTTTCTTTCAGTTTTTTGACCTCGGAGTTACATACTAGTCTTTTAATAATTTAGATCGTGGGCCAGGGACAAGCCAAAGATTCGGTTCAAAAAATCGCAGCATATCCACAGAGCGAATAAGGATTGGTGGTGCTAAGCGTTCGTCGGTCCGTCCGTTCGTCTCTGTCCATCCGTCTATCTAGCAGACACTCCAAGTACAACCATCTCGCATCTTTTCATCATGTATTCATCATATGCAAGTGCCGCCATCCAGCGGACATTGCAAGGACCGCTCTTTCGGGTATGTGCCACCGGTGGTTACGCACTACAACGAGGGACGCACAAGCCACGCCATAAGGAGCTTCGCCCCTCAAATGTCCTTCAATCGTATTTCAGCATGTGTAATATGTTCTGTTGAACTGTAGTCGCCTCTTGCGCAATGACTAGGCTTCAACTGTGTAATGACTACTTTTCCCAAAACAAAAATGCATCCTCGATTACTAGGAGTCTCCGACAGTCGGTCAACGAGGGTTTTCGCACAGATTTGCTCAATACAAAGACCGTAGTTTCCTGGTTCTCTACAAATGGTTGCTATTCGACATCCTTGTCTATGAAAAGGCCGAGAAATCAGAGCAAGTTTTTTATTAATTTATAAGCAAATGGTTTACTACCATTTCACTCACCAAAGACGAACTTTAATACGAAACCTTCGGCTGAAAAATTCGTAATCCCATCTTTGCAGTTGGTGGTAGAAAATAGCATTTCCCGACATATGAAAATTATTTCTGGTGGTCTTAAATTGAATTCCCAATCGCCACTAAGGCTTCATTTGCCAGTATTAATCCACTCTGTTTTGCCTGGTTCATGTTGTAACAAAGCAAACCATGGCAATGACGAAGCTAGGCAAATCTGGTCTCTCCCGTTTGGTATCACCATAACTATATCTGATATTTTGGTACCGGCACCTAAGAGATCTAAAGTTCAATTAAGTTCTCTAATTATATGTCAGAGAGAGAGAGGAATTCTGAAAGTCAAAATCGACTCCCCGCGTTGAACTCTCCACCAGTGCGCGTCGGCTTTCATACACGTCCGATTGTACCATCCATCGATATCGCATGACGTCATGTTACACTGAAAATGGACTTTACTTCTCAAAGCGATCGTGACATTTCCCAAACATCGCGGTGCAGCTTGTACCACACTGATTACACATCGTGGTTAAAACATGCCTAATGGCCAGGTTGCGTAAGAATACAAAAAAATGCGCGTGGCATTATGTTCACCGTTAATTCGAACATATTTTTGCTTTGCTGGAAGCCTTGTCTGCCAGTCAAGGAGAGATAATGTTCATCTCATGTCTACAGAAATAACTACCAGCCTCGTGATACCATTACTTCGAAGAATGAAATAGCTGTTTTCAAGATAGCTGAAAAGATTGCAAGGTAAACACGAAAGTGTCTGGCTTGCTTTTTTTCGGCGAGCAACGGTCAAGTCGGTTTGACGTGCTTGTGAGCAACAAACCGTGAATAGGGACAAAGACGGGTTGACTCATTGCTCGTGCTTGAAACAAAGGGTGCAAACAGTATATTGCAAGCTTAGCTTGGTCACGATGTCTAACGTGGAGCATTATTTATCACTAGCTGCGTTAGCAAAAAGGCCAATTGTCATGTGCTTTGACACGAGCGTACAAATTTCGCAGTCAGCAGCTAGATAGGGCCCTGTGTTTCTCCCCCGTATTTTGCTCTGTCACGCTATCGATAACTTAAGTGTTGTCTATGGGGGTGCTAGAAGCAATGGGTGTCTGGTGAATAATAGGTGTTTGCCAATGACTTCCATTTGTGTCTCGTTGCTTTTCTACGTTCAAGTAGTTTGCAACAGGACTAGTTGTATGATAACGTTACTTCATAGTTCCTTCATTGGTTATCGAAACGTCCATGGCAATACCGACAAAAAATACTGAAAAAAAAATCATACGGCATATGGCTGCTCACAGGCGTGTTTATTTGAATATATATGCTTGCCGTGCTTCGAAACATCAATACTATTTTTTTATTGCGGTTGTCAAAGAATCTGCGCCTTGTTCTTACCGACTGACTTAATTTTCAGCTGAATAAACTAAATTGTTAATGTATTCGAGATGTCATACGCAATTTACAAGAGTAACGCGAGGCTAACGTTAATGTTCAACTTAATTGCGAATAGTTCCGTCTCGCAACTATAACATCTCCACTTCGCGCCAGGTAACTGCACGTTCTTGCTTCTATTTCCAGTTAACATCTTTATTTCGGCATCGTTTGGGTCGGGTGCCGCGTGGCCAAGTAATGCTTAATTATACAGGGTGTTTAACGATTTCGCCAGTTGCATTTCTCCGATTGGTTGGCGCTCCTGTCACTGCCTGCACGACAAATCGAATTCGTTTAGTAAAAACTTTATGGTGATGAAAGGTTTGATTGGTTAGACGGCTGATTGCCTTAATGGTGCAAATTGCTTTGGAGGAATTTACGATGTGTCATAAATCCCACTGTTGAGCACTCCGCTCCACTTTCATCTTCGGCGTGTCGCAATGAGCAAGGCAATTTAGTGGCGGGGGTCATGATGGGGTTGTTGCAGGCGAATTTTCCTTGGTCTACAACTGCTTCGAATGTATTCTTGCTTCAGGTTGACGACGTTATGCCTACGATACCACCCCGCGTTCAGTCGGTTATTAATTCGCACTACCCTCTGTTCAGCTATGTACTCGTGAAGCCGATTGGTGGCAGTATACCTCTACGCGAAAGCGCTCGTTCTGGATTAAAACACCGAGCCGGGACTAGTTTTCCGTCAATTTGGGAGCTCTTTCTCAAAGGTTCTTGTATATTTTCTTGCAGCTTCTCAAGTGAACGACAAAATGGCAAATCTCGCCTTCCACGAGCCTTTCACCCCCGTACGGGTTTCTCAAAAAGTAATTTGTCATTCAGTAATTCTCATTACTCGAAAGACTCACGCAGTGCCACAGATTGTGGATATTAGGGCGATCTCGCAAATAACGTTGAGCTACTTCAAATTCACGATTCATCTAAAACTCTAAATCTACAGTTCAAATGCAGGGTCATATACAGAGATCATGACCATGGTAGATGACCTGGAGCTTATCGAAATTAAATGCTCATTTAGCCTTTTCCTCTAGCGCGAATCATCCCAGGTACTGAAATGTTTGTCAGGTCATTACGAACTGGTGAATTGGAATATGTATCCGCTCATTTACATTTATTATAAGTATATCTGCATCACAATTTATCTTTTGTTTCTACACAGAAATGTTATGCTCTCCAGATACGTGTGTCACGATTACTTTTCATAGTATTCTAATGTCATTTTTTTCATGTTCATTCATCGCTTTCGAGTTTGATAACTCTTCTTGAACACCGTTTTACACATGTTTCCTCTTTTGTTTTTCTGCCTGTATCTATGATCATTCGCCAAGCTCTGTATATAATCAGTTTTGAATGTGTTGTAACCTAAGTAAAATATTTAATTATACACTTTTTTGTTTGTAAATGACGTCGTTTTTCAGGATTATTTTTTTTTTCAAATTTTTAACCTTTCACGACTAGTCTTCGGCTAGGGATTCAGATTCATTTTCGACACTATCGTAATGTGTAAACATTTTTATGTCACTACTGGCCTATCGGAACGCCTCTGAGTGAACTGATTTTGTGTGCGCATGTGTGTCCACGTTTCGCTTTTATTTAGTTTTTTAACTCTCTCTCTCTTTCAACCTTCTCTTCCCCAACTCTAGTGTAGGGTAACATACCGGATACTAGCATCTGGTTAACCTCCCTGTCTTCCTTTTTTCTCGTTTCTCTCTCTCTCTTCTTCTTCAATAAACTTAAATTCAATTATGTAATTCTGTGCAGGTTGTTGCGAGGAAGAGTGCCCCGTGGGCTACAGCTCTCCTTTGGAGGCCGCCTGCAAGGGCCGCCGCGAGAAGATCGTCTACGTGCCCTGCATCGTGCCTTCCAAGGAGAGGCCCGACTACCTGGCGGTCGTCTGCGTCGACCACCACTCGCCGGACTTTTGCAAAGTCAGTTTGAGCCAGAGCAGTGTATCGAAAGACAGTTGGACATATACCAGAAAGTGTGGGTTTGATTAAACCTATATAGGCTTGACCAAACTTCAGAATGGCGCATTACGGGAACCAATGTTGGCGACCTAGTGAATGTTGGTTACATATGAATGACATCGTGTTCTGGCTTAATTTGTAATCCTGGCTGTGCTGTTATAACAGCAACACCTCTAAAAATGCTTCATCACTCAATCATCAGATCACGTGATCATAGGAGATGCCGTAGTGTCGTAGTCAACGTCTCTCCACACTTGCACACAACTCAGCTGTGTGTAAGTTGTCAATAGTTATTTGACGCAATTCACCTGCCATGTTCACTCCATGCTACCAGCATCCACAACCTGTTGGTTAGTGCCTATTGTCGGTTCTTGCAAGAATGCAGCCTTAGATCAAACTAATAGGATTGCGTTGTCTACCGCTTCAGATTTATTTAAGCCCCAAACGAGGCTAGACAGAAACCCGACGCAGTTCCTGGTCATGTAACAAACGTTTCGCATCGCGACTCCTTAATGTTCTGCTTGACTAGTACCGTGATAGTAGCCATCATTGGTGAGGTCGCACTCGGCCTCGTGGCTCTATTTTAGTGTGAATGAATCCCGAGTTTGATAACCTATGGTTAATGTAATGCCAAAGAAATACGCCCTTATAGGCATCGAAGTTACTGGAGCCAAAATTGGGTAATGAGTGTCATCTCTCATTTGCCCCTAAGTGTACGAATGTATGGAATTTTGTCGGGCGTTCATTTTCTCCATTATAACCTAACAAAACCACCAGACAAATAAGCCAGTATAAGTCACTTTACTTTCTTTCAGTTTAAGTGAGAATCAGTACATTACACTCGAGAGACCACATACGTACCCTGTTCTTTCCCTGGCTTGCTTACCTGGTTATTTCATTCAGTTTTGTATCAAGTAATACGTAAATCTTTCATTAGCGATCGTTGGTAGTGCTTCCACTGTTTTGTGATTAAGCACGTAGCGTCACTTCCATCACAAACAGTTCCAAGTATTTGTACTGCACGAGGTGTTTTTCGCAATTCGTGTTCTTGATTACTGTACAAATGCCGGTAAGGTTGAAAAAATCTGTTGTAGAAAATTCTTAACATGCATTCCCTCTGAAGGAAAAGTTTCTCATTTGCTCACCTGTCCTAGGTCACACTGTTTCTAGCGTAACAACTTTTCTGGACAGCTAGACTACCATAAAACTGTTTAGGTTCTTGATTTTTTAATACACTAACTGCAAAATAATTTCAAGGAGCACATAGGCTGACTCATATATAGCCTTGAACGGCTAGTTATTCATCTGTGTTTCATTAAATGACGTAATTCATAGCTTTTAGCTGTCAAATGGGTGTCTAAAAGTTTCAAGCGGTCATACACACGTCCAGGTTTGTTTGTTTCTTGTCACTCTCGTCAAAGAGATAAAACAAAATAAACGTAATTGAATCTCGCGGCTCCAGTAGGCCCGTACACTACTTAACAGGATATGGGCAAACAGGCTGGTTACCAGTTTATCTGCCGCCGCGGTATTAGGCCGCAAAACCCCCGCTTTGCGCGCCGACGCAATTTGTCGGCGGTTTGTTCGGGCTTCGAGTTTCTGAACGTGCGTGCTTAAATGAACTCCTCGTCTTGGCAAAAGGAAAAAAAAAAAGAGCAGCTGTAGCACAAGCCATACGGAAATTAGATTTCGCAGAGCTGCTGCTTTATTTAGTGCCTGAGGGGACGGGCCCATGATGCGTTGGGCACTGTTCTGTATATGAAGCGGTTGCTGTGACTTTTTACTTTCTGTAGCGAAACCTTCGACACGATTTTTGTAGAACCTTTTAGATTGCAGTTTCTGACAGGTATGTTGATAACCAGCAGTGATATACCTAAATGAAAGTGATTTTATTCATGTTACCCTACAGGCCCAGAAGAGCCTTGAGTAGGGGGTGGGGGTGAGGGGGGGCTACAGAAAAATCACTATCAATGAACCGTAAAGAAAACTACATTGACAGAAAAAAATTTGTACAAATATAATGAAGCATTTGTTATTTTGCCTTATATTGTACGAAGATAAGTTTTTTGTGAACATATGAACTTGCAAATGCTCACGGAATTTCGCAGGTGCTCTTATCAAACAATTTCACCAGGAAGACTATTTCGAAGTGCGATGGCACGTGGCAAAGCCGAATTATCGAATGACATTTATCTGGTTGTGGGATGTACAATGGCCTACCGGAGGTGCCCGAATTCATCGTGGCGAATCGCGAGTGCACCGACGTACGATGCTATTTTTGCAAGTAAACTCGAGAAAGTCTGAGTCACCACAGCCACTGTACTGCGGTGACCTTCACAACTGAAAGGGGCAGTTTTCGTATGTTTCCAGATAAATGAAGCAGAACCACCAGCATGGCACCAGGGCAGTCAAAGACCGCAATGCCAATGGCGCAAGTGTGTTATTTTCTATCTGTTCCATTAGAAGCGCCATCGCAAAATCTGGGCAAAAGCAAATATACAGGTGAACAGAGAGATAAAAAAATAAACAAGCGTAGGCTTTGAGCGAGCCTTCCAGCAAAAAAAAAAAAAAAAACTTATAGCCCATGCAGTGCATGCCCGAAGTCCATGCAGATGAAACACCATCTTAACAGAGTTGTGGCACATCCTTCGTGCTATTGCTCGATATATTTCAGTCATGCTTTCATAACTCAGCGATACTTACGACAGTTTCCACATTTGTGCAGCTTATTCTAGTTCACCTGCCATTTGGCTGTTTTGTTTTAAAAAGTCAACTAGAGCCAGAAACCAGAGTACAGCCACGCATGCTGACAATGCAATAAAAGTCCATGCACTCTGTGGACAATTTTTTTTTGCATACATTCGTGCTTTTCTAAGTGAAGCTCAGCTCAAACTGGCACCTGTTCCTTCTTTACCTTCATGTAAACCTCCCAGCTAACTCTGTCCCAGCTAACGCGCTTCTGCAGTGGAGGCTGGTGGTTGAAATGCCTTCCCATGGTTAAACTTGCTGCTTAATCTTCTCAACGATGCACCCCGCAGGTCGCGGGTTCGTATCCCGGCTGCGGCGGCTGCATTTCCGATGGAGGCGGAAATGTTGTAGGCCCGTGTGCTCAGATTTGGGTGCACGGTAAAGAACCCCAGGTGCTCGAAATTTCCGGAGCCCTCCTCTACGGCGTCTCTCATACTCATATGGTGGTTTTGGGACGTTAAACCCCACAAATCAATAAGACAACAGTGCACTCATTGAATACGAAATAAACAGTAAACACAGATTAATCGTGAACATTGACTGTACACGAAGTGCTGCTGCTTCTAGGTATTGTAAATAACTTTTAACCATCGGTACATGCATAAATTGGGCACAGACGGTGCGCCTAGTTTATACATTTACCAATCTTATGGCAACCTCCGCACCCGGGCAATCGCAGGTGCTTTTAATTGCTTGACCGTGACCACTTCTATGTGTGCATTTATTTGTTCAATGCGCGATCTTCCCCCCCCCTACTCATTTGTGAACTAACCATCTATGCCGTTGCCCTCGATTTGCCTCTGAAAGACGGAAGCTTTCTGACGCATTGCCACAATTGGACAATAGGCCAGTCTCTATTGAGATGCTACTGGAGCACCGTCCTAGTCTTTTGTCGGCTCAAAAGGTAGTCAGTCGTCTTGCGCTTTTTGAGGACTAAAGGCGTATGTGAACGCCTGTAACTTTTGTGTAGGTGCCACCGCTGCATACGCGTCAGCCCATTGACTGACAATCCTTTTTTTGTCTCTTTCTTTTCGTTCCTCTCTCTCGTTTTTATATTCTCCCTTCCTATTACCCCAGCGTAGGGTAGCAAACCGGGCATGTGCCTGGCTAACCTCCCTGCTTTCTCTCTTGTTCTTGTTCTCCCTCCTCCTTATTTTCCCAGTTCAGGATAGTCAACTGGTTCATCGTGGTTAACCTTCCTGCAAAGCCATCATCGAATCGTGTACCTATGTAAGCAGTGGACACATACGCATGGCTCAGCGGCCGAGCTACTCCCTTGCTGTCGATATACCACGAGCGGCTGGTCTGACCAATCAATGTCTTCAGTGATTTGATAAAATAATCACCATTGAGAAATAGATGAACGAAACAAGATTCACTTGCCGGGGCTGGGACCTGAACCCAACTCCTCATGCCCCGAATGCGAGCGTCTTTACTACTTGGTTACACACCCACGCTTGATGAATGTGACTACGCGTGAATCTAAACCGTATGAATGTGTTGTACCCATGGTGGAAAACAACAGTAAAAAGAACTTTCTGTTCACTACATTTTGTGTTTGGACATTGCACGACAACTGCAGGACACGATGTAGGGCCGACATGCAAGACTTTACACAAAAGTAAAATCTTTCCTTTGCAGGACACTTCGTTTTAGTGGCCCTCCGTACACGACTTTTATATATGCTAACTATTAGGATGAAACGCGCTTTGTTTCGCCACCTGGTGGGTGTGCACACCCTCGCTTGCTCGACCGTGAAATAGCTCGAGTGGTCGCTTTTTACTAAAGTATAGTGTTTTATATTGCACCACTCTTCACCTCCTGTAACAGTCTTCGAGAAAGCTCACCAGGCAGCTTCTTTTTTTTTTTCTCCACCTCTCTTGCGAAGGTGATATACCGACTGCCGATGCCGTACAAGGGAGACGAGCTTCACCACATGAACTGGAACACGTGCAGCAGCTGCTACGGCAAGCCCAACAAGCGGCGCAACCGACTCATCCTGCCTAGCCTGAACAGCGACCGTGTCTACGTGGTCGACCTCAGCCACAACATCAGGAAGCCCACTATTCTCAAGGTGTGTACCGGCATACATGGGTCACTCGATAGTCATCAAAACTTGTTGCTGCTTTAGATATTAAGAAGTCTGGCTTGCGCGCAGACTTGTCTTTGTTGCAACGGTTCTCGTCTTATGTGACATACTTAAGTAGACCTGCCGATTCGGAGTCTTTATTATCCTGGGTCTAGGCCGCCCGGGGTGCCCTATAGGCACTCTACAGGTTGCCTCTACAGCTTGCTCTATCTCCACAAGTTCGTCCGAGCTGGTCTTGTGCATGTCGTCTGGCTTGGCACTGCCTCCCTGATCGGCCCACCTTTAAAAAAGCGATGGTGTCATTTGGACCTCAGAAGCGTGCCATAGATGGACGTACTATAAATGTCATGTGACCACGTCGTCACAAGTTTTGGCGTTCTATGGTGGTGCACCACGTGAGCTTTTTTTTTTTTTTCGTCTCCCGGGTTAACGTCGCTGATGCCGACACCAACGGTTACTTTACACGTTTGGTGAAGCCTGTAAGGCTTCCGCTTCAATATCGAAATAATATGAGAGGCCAGTATTCGAATGCAACGGTACTGTGGGGGGAGCATAGCTTTGCGCCCGACTTATACGCACGACATCCATTTCTCGCCGTATTTTTTTATTTCTCTTCTTGCTGCAACCACTTCCTTGCGCGAGTTTCAGAAAACGTTTTGAAAAAAGAAAAACGGAGACGGGTGGTAAAGGTCTTTAGGAGGGAACTGCCCATGAATCTTTTCAAAGCGCTCCTGCCAGTGAGCGCGGAGCATTCAATAGCCTCAAGCATGGTTTGACCGGGAGTTCTGCGACTCGATGCAACTTCCGCGCTACCATTAGTCTTTCCCATGTCGATCGCTTTTCCAATAGTTTAGGTCATCCGCGAAGCCGTCGGATGGGTTGCTTTGTTACTTTCTCCGGGTACGTCTGCTAGCCCGAAAAACGAACCCTCCATATTTCGGAGCTCTTTCTTTCTTTATTATAGGGTTGCCAACGGCGCTCAACCTGGTTACAAATCAATTCAGTCGGGTGTGTTAATTGAAAACATACTGTGAGTAATTGTATTACCATAGGTATATTATTGCGAAATAAAAAAAAATGAAAGGTGAGTGTAAGTTTTGTGCCGAAATTTCTGCCCGTGAATTTCAATGTCCGTCAGATTTATGTCTTCATATTTTTTCATGTCTACGGCCACAATTGATCAAAGCAATTTCGTCTAACTTCAATAGTTCAGCTTGTACGCCTCTCAAAGACCGATGTACTTCGTTTTTTACGGGTTCATAGCTTTGTGGAGCCCCTGTAGACTCCATCAGAATGTTACTTCATGGCGAGCTGGCGCTTCAAAGCGGCATTGCCACTTCTATGCCACTTTTTTCAGCTGCACGTTTTCTCCCTTGCCAGACATCCTCTCGTGACAAGGGTTTCGCTTTTGGTAAAGTGAAAGGGTACTTTTCTCATGCGAGAAAAATCTCTTTTATGCCCCTTTCCTGGGTTTCCTTTAGCTTTCTTTGTATCTTCCACTGCTGCCCTCCGTGCAGCTTTGAATTCTCTACGAGTATATAATAGATGTTTGTGCACACACGAGAGGTATACAGTGCACTCTGTTAGGATACCGACGCAAGTGCCGGTGTCTTACGTATATCTAATGTTCCTTTTTGCAAGAACACGTTAGACCTTGCATTCTTCGCTACGTATGCTGGACGTCACTGTCCACGTCTTCACAAACGTTTAGTGATGGGCTAGCAGGTAAAAGGCGTACGGCAAAATGTAGACACAATGACCAGAAAGACTGGATAGACAAGGGCGATAAAGAAGATAAACGACTTCGTAAGTGAACGTTCTCGCGCAGGTCGTAGAACCCGAAGAGATGCACGCTCTTGGCCTCGCCACACCTCACACGCCCCACTGCCTCGCCGATGGCAACGTCATGATCAGCACAATGGGCAAACCCGACGGCAGTGCCAAAGGTACGCGAAACGTTAAGAAGGGCTGGGTATACAGCTTCAAGACGTGATTTTTCTGTCCCACGTCATTGAAGTGTCAGTACTGTGTCGATGCTACATTGGTGTCCTAGTTACTACAGCACTTCTCATCAGGCTAATTAGTTCACCAAGAGAGTTTAAGAGAACAGACTTTTGGGTTAGTTGGTTTAATGCGTGCAATGAAGCCATCACGCCGATCAAACAGGGACCACAGAAAGAAGACAGGACGTGCACGTGAAGTCTGTCTTGATTTCAGTTTCCGTGGTTCTAATTTTTTGTTGCGTTAGTTTATCCAATCAATCAACAATGCTGCGTATGTGTTGCTTCTACGTGACCATCGATGGCTTCAGATATTCTTTTATAGCACTTGTTGCCATAGGAAAATAGTCGCATGGCCCACTTTATACCTTTTTGTCATACCCTTTGTATGTTTGTTTGTACACGTGACTGGGTTCCTGCCGATGGCTGGCACCCTAGTAGTGAAGATCGGGATTCATTCTATTTAAGGCTGTATATTTGGCTGAGGTTCATCATTGTGCATGTCTCTGTGGGGAGCCATCGATTTGCACTAGAATGACTATGGATTGAGTCGGCAAACGCACAGTAAGCGGTTTTTGCGAGGTCTGGAGAAAGATGCGAAAGAGTAATGTTGTACGGCTAACTCATACGGCGACGAAGGCCAAACTTCACAGTAGGAGTTTCAACACACAAGTGGCAAGCTAGCCAGACAGTGTTAAAAATAAAGAAACGTTGCGCGTTCAGTAACGTGCTTTCGATGGCATGTTTATCCGTTATTACTATTTAACCTCAGTGGTATATCTGGAATGACTGCCCCCTTTGTGCGGCATGGTTCACTCGTACCGCATATTTGTTTGAGTATATTTCAATTGAGAAGCACGGACTACTGGGCGAGTTGGCAATTCATCTTAACTGAGATTCGCGAAAAAGTTGAAGCACAAAAGGAAGACACCTGGACACAGCGCACGCAGGTTGTGCGCACGCAGGTTGTGCGCACGTTGTGGAAGACGCATGGAAATTGCGCTGTGTCTGGCTGTCTTCCTTTTGTACTTAAGTTTTTTTGCGCATCTCAGTTAAGAAGCATATTTTAACAATGTATTCGTAAGTTGTGCTGTTTAGTCATCGTTCCGTATAACAAATGTCGTGGTGGAGATCACTGTAGTATTTAGACCTGAGAAATTCAGCGGCCTTAGTGGTTTTCATGCTGCAGCGTGACGGGCAGCATTTGTGAAGATAGCGTAAGCTGAAGCTATTTTCCTCCATAATTATTTCTGCATATGTGTGGCTAGCTCGAGCGACGCTTTTCACGAATTTCAACCAACTCGCCGAGCTGTCTGCCCGCATCGTTTGAAATCCTCTGCAGGCTGCTTTTTCATTCTGGACTGGTACCACGCTCACGCTTCGCAATGCATGTGAGCAGTCGTGCCAGTGCGCCGACTTCGGCTACGACTTCTGGTACCAGCCTCGGCACAACGTCATGGTCAGCAGCCAATGGGGAGCCCCATCTGCCTTCAAGAAAGGCTTCGACTTGCAAGACGTCGAGGATGGTGAGCGCTTCATTTTATGACATTCAATGCCAAAATTGTGAATGTGTGAGCTTGTCCTTGAATTGAGATTGCAAAGGGAGCGTGCTTCTGACCGCAAAACGTTTTTTTTTTTTCCTGTGTCGATCTGAATGCCTTGTTGACACGAGTTTGACACTTCGTTTATTCTTAGGAAAGTACGGCACTCATATCGACATCTGGGAGTGGCCTGCACTGGTTCATCAGAAGAGCCTAGATTTGGGAACCGAAGGATTAATGCCCCTGGAGGTTCGCTTTTTGCATAATCCGGAAGCCAGCGAAGGCTACGTGGGCTGTGCTCTAGGAAGCACTGTCTGGAGGTTCTTCAAGGACCAGGTGAGAATCCTGCGAGAGCTGTCCGAAGTAGAATTGCAGTCACAAAGCTCTCATAGATTCGCAACGCAACCTTGACAACATTAACTCTTGCCAAGCATTGCATTGCCCAAGCTTCCTTCAGGCTCCATAGCAGCAGCATAAGGGTCGGTTGAAGCCCTTCTCATCTGAAGTGCTGCCAACCGAATGTGATGATCGTGCTTTTTTTATTTGATGTCTAACTATAACAGATGCGTACAAGTTTATACTATGTTCACAAGAACGGGAACTTGCGGGGGGATGAAGGGTCGATGCGGGGCGCACTCTGATAATCTGCGCGTGAGGACTAGTGTATGTGAAACATATTCAATGTTAAAGGAAATGACGCTGAACGAAAATTTTTCGAATTTATCATTTTGTCATTCCCGTTCGCAGCACATAGTTTTTCGCTGCTTCGGGGGGTGGCCGCATTTATAAATTGCCGTGATTTGTAGTCATGGATCACCTTAATCCCATCTTTTGTCTAATGTGCTTTTTGCATTCTTGTTCTGCATGAGATGTCATTCTTCATGAAAACTTCAGCAAATAAAGAGGTCAACGCGTGTCTTGTCGACATGAAACTATTGTAAAAAGCTATAGATCTATGTTTTGCCCTTCGGCGTTGCAGGACGGTTCATGGAGTGTGGAAAAGGTCATCACTATCCCACCAAAGAAAGTGGAGGGCTGGATTCTTGAAGACATGCCCGGTAGGAGTTCTTTGGTTACATTTTCTCTTTTTCCCCGCCTTTTTCTTAGAGATGGTGCTTGACCACTAGCTTCTAACGGAAAACAAATTTGGGTTCAAATAAGCAGTGATTGTATTGGAGACAGCCCACACCCTTGGTATTTTCAGTTGCAAAATGTTTTTATGATTTTCGATGAGTTAGACATAAAATGCGCTGGTCAAACCGATGCCGATGTTTACAGTACATTTTCTAAATCGCTTGTACAAAGCGAGGCATTAGTATTGTGCAAGTCTCATTACTTCAAGACGTTACGATTTAGAGAGCAAAGCAGCGCACGAAAACGAACTCGTTTACCCACACCCTCCTCTTTATCAGCCTCTCCGCTAACGGTGTTGCTCAGCGTAACACCAGTTCTCACTAGATGTGAGCGCAAAAAAAAAAAAAACGACGAAAGAAAGTACACGCACGTTCGTTTTTCTGTTGTTGTTGTTGTTGTTGTTGTTGTTGTTGTTGTTGTTGTTGTTGTTGCTTGCGCTGACATCAAAGAATCGCAAGTTGTTCTCTCATTTTGCCTATAAATAACGTAGACGATAATGTCTTGCCGCGGCACTACGAAAAATGACGTGTCACTCTATCTGCTGAGCCCTGACTTTTCAGATGTCAAGTACGCGTATGACTTTCGTCCAGTCACACCTACCGCGAACCTCCGTAGATGTTAACATGAATGTTAAGGGTTATAAATGTGACAAGTTTGCTTACATGTGTGGGCACAAAACTAGCTATATCGAAAGCAATAAATCGGCATCTTTTACGGCACCTTGTAGCTAAACCACGTTCTCTTGGGTTATAGCAAATGCCGGTGTACTGTTCTCTTCCCAAAAAGTGCGCAGTTAACGAATCAGTGCTCCAATCACTGTTGCCCCATGAACCGTGATGTCCTGTGTCGAGTGCGTTCGGCTTTCGGCCCGGCACCTAACAAAAAAAAAAACGCTAGAAAACGTTGTTTTCAGAGACCGCCATATTTTCGATGCGAGGGAAAATGCAGCAGCAGTCCAGGGAAGGGGGCTGCGCTCATGTTTGGCAGGAAGCTGTTGACGGCACGTCATTGGTCATTGGGACTAGTGCGGGAATTTAAGTGGCCTGGTCACTAAACGTTATCTTTTGTATGTTTTTTTTCGGTGTACCAAATGGCTCCTCGCAGTTGTCTTTCATCACTAATATGAAACACAAATTATTAGAATTTTTTTCCTTTTGTCTCTCTCTCTCTCTCTCTCTCTCTCTCTCTCTATATATATATATATATATATATGTGTGTGTGTATATATGTGTATATATGTATATATTGTGATGAGCGAGACAGAAAACAGGAGGCAACACCCGATCCTGGGCCAGCTGTTTCTTATTCTGCACTTCGTACTTCTCTTCTTTTCTCTAGCTACCCGCGCGCCGAAGCGCCAGCGTCTTTCTTGGTCATATATATATATATATATATATATATATATATATATATATATATATATATATAGACTTGTGTGTGTGTGTGTTATTGTACTCTTTGAATAGGGAGTTAGGGGTTGACAAATATGCTCATTTTCTTTATAAGTATCTCTGCTTTTCGCAACAGCATACAAAAACGCATACAAAAAACACGAAAAGTAAACGCTTGCATCACTTCCCCGTTTTATTAAAACCGAACGCTTTGCCACCTATTCACAGTATACTTTACGCAAAACACAGCGACCATAAACACTTGTCTCTGGCAGCGGTGCATGTACACCTGTGAAAGTAACTCCATGGTTAAGCTCGATACTGGGCGGCAAGGCCCGCATCCCTATATGGGGAAAGTGATGACTATATAGTTGCTTTTGCATCTGGCTCTGAATCGAGGTGAAGTATCCAATATGAATTCGCCCGGATTCTTGTTCCATGACGTTGGAAGTTCAAGCTATGGTTTGAAGTTTGAAGTTTATTTCACCACCACAGTGTTACACAACACAATGTGTGGTGTGGAATGCGGGAAAAACGGGTCACTCAACGAACTAATTAAAATTTGTCATGAGTCCCAGAAAGTCAGCACGAGCCCACGCTTTAAAAAAGCATCGATGAAATCGAAATGAAACAAAAATGCAGCTTGAATACTTCTGAATTCTATTTCAGCTCTGGGATTTCCAGGTGATTCAGTTTCTATTTGGGTCTGTCATGAGGAAATCGGCTTTGGGCGTGTTGGTCTACAGGTGAAATGATAACCAATCAGTTTCATTTTAAAGCTATCCTCATTTTGTCAACTACGTATGGTCAACCTTTACAGCCGCTAATCGAATTTACACACAGACAGCACTGCTATTCTTTTCATTCAGCACGCCATCTTCTGCCAGGAGATAGCTAATGAACGCTGCTGGACATTTCCGCGTTGGGTGAGATCAGTCTAACACCAAGGCCCGTATTGTGCACCATCACAGCAGCTCGGTATCGGCACTGCCAAGCCAGCTCCCTAATTCAGCCATGTGGCAAGGAGCTATCCAAGTCTACGGCGGCAAAAGTATTTCTCATTTTCTGCAGACGATAGGTGCACACGTATCATAGCTCTTGGCTAACTTATAAGGACGAGACGGTGTCCGTGCCTTCCTATCCTGATATGCTAAATAAGACACTGCCGGCGATCGTGCTTAGTGGCTATAACGGCTGTGCAGCACCGATAACACGCGCCCTAAGTGAGCGACTTGATATGCAAATTGCCAAATACGACTGACAGTACTGGACTATAAGGCCGAACGATTTTTAATCATCCCAGCAGATAGAGCAGCCGCCGTCACACGCGTACCAATGTCGACAAATAGCTGTTTCGCAAGGCCGCTCGTCTTTGCAGACTTTTTGTTACTTCTTCGGCTATCACGCGCAGTGCCCGCGGGTGACAGCCACTTGTCTCGTGAAGCGACCCGAAGGAAGAAATTGTCACTTTCAAGTGAAATGAAAGCTAGTTAAAGAACGACAAATGAAAGCAATAGGTAGCCTCATTTAAACAGCGGAATGTGACAAAATGAGTTTTGAAACCCACATTTCTGATTGCCGGCGTGTAGGTTTAATAACGAGCTGATGACTCTAGCTTTCTAAGCACGGGCACTTCGTTTGCCCTGAAGCTATAGACACGAGCTTCATTTAAGTGCGCCCTACCACCTTGTGCTATATAGTGCAGCCGCAGTAGATGGTTCGAAGCGGACTAGTGGTTTCAACCCTACACTGCGCCATAAATCGCGAGTGGCTTAGTGGCCAGCTCGGGGAGTGAGCACGTACAAAAATAAAAGAACGACGCCCGGCAGCAGGCTGTTAATTTTGGTGGTTTACGCTTTGTTTGATTGATTGCGATACATATTTTTCCCCATTTTTCGGTGTTTTAATTTTTTAAAGATTAGTGGCGCAAGCGAGGATGTTTGTTTTCCCCCTCGACAGAAAGCGCCTCTTGAACATTGCGCGAAGCGTAATGTAATGCCTGGTATGAATAAGAGCGGGGTAATACTTAAGTTGAACTAGTCGGTATATAACTTACTCGGAGTAAAACGACACTAAAGAACGAAATGATTACAAGGGTTGTGAAAAAACTGGGACGTTGCACTATATTGGCTGCAACATCTCGGGTCACTGTTTTTTTTTGTTGTTGTTGTAATGGTCATACATATGACAATGTACTGAAGTCGAAATTCAAAAAAGCTTGGCTTATATTCAGCATCATTTTTTCCCCTTTTCTTACTCATGAGTGGTCTCGTGTTGAGCACAATCTTTTTTTCAAGGTCATATTTGCCACTAGAAGCGATCATTAAGTGCGTATATCTATCGAGTGAGTGTGTTCTTGATTCATGCAGCGGTCATCACGGACATACTGATATCCCTGGACGACAAGTATCTCTACTTCGTCTGCTGGATTCACGGGGACATTCGTCAGTACGACATCACTGACACTCGGCATCCGAAACTCGTTGGTCAGGTAAGCACTGCACACGTTCAGCCGTTTGACTACCATGTATATATACGCCTGCGTATTGTAAAAAAAAAGAAAAATCGGCGCGAACAAGGTGGGGCACAATAATACGACGCTGTATACACACTGTCCCATTATTGCGTTCGGTCTTCTTTGTGCCGATTTTTTCGCAACATGTATTACTTCCAACTTTCCCACCTCTCTACTGTACGCCTGCCATGTCTTGTAGCGCCTACGAACTGAACGATACAGAACTGCTACCACACTTGCGACAGGAACACTAAACTTTTGCATCGGTCTTCATCTGCCGATTGTTTCTATATGGCAGGCTATCTGCAGAAAACCCACAAGTATTTTGTAGGCACTTTGTTCTATATACACGGCGACAGCCTTTCTTGGCAGCGCTGTTGAAGCTACTGAACCGAAGTCCATGCCTGCTAGCATGCCAAAAGAAAAAAAAAGTACTCAAATTTGCTCGTAGTTTGACATGTGGCCTTGCTGAAATGTTGCTTTATTTATTAGGAGACTCGCAGTTGCGGAAAACTCTTGGGTAAAGTGCAGTTATTGTTCCCATTCCAAGAATGCATTTCTTTTATTTCCATTCCTTACACAGCAACACCTTTTCAGCATACCCGTTTTCCAACGTAAACTTGTAGTCCGTGGCGTAGTGGTTCAGTGTGCGGCCGCAATAGCATTGTTCTCTATGGAAAAAAAATATACTCGTAGTATGGAACTAAAATGTACACTGAACTATAGAAATGTTTCTCCCCATTCAGTTTTATAAACGTTAACTATGCGGAGCAAAAGGAATTGGCGGAAGCCCTGCCCTGCGTAGCCTTCGCTCCACTCTCAAGATAAGTTGTCGCAGAGTATTCAATTCTTTTATCTTCAAGTCCTCTTGTGTTTATTTTTATTAGATACCTGCGATGATTTCTTACCCTAATCGCTATTGAAATAACTGGCTTTTTTTCTTTCATGGCTCGTTACCTGTGAATTTGTGCATTTACTTGATTTACATTTATGTTATTTATTGTTATTGGTTGCATTGCGAATCAGGGTGTGTGTTTTTTGTTTGGAATGCAGAGCTTTCACGGATTTGTATGTATACCTGGTTTATCACTGGGAGATGTATAGTTATATCCCCAATTTGTTTGTACAGTATGTCGTACCTTTCCTGTAATGACCCTCAATAAAGGGTTGACAGTAAGGGTCAGCTGCAGCGGACACAATAACAGACGTATGGATCACGCATTATCTGAGCAGTCTTGCAGATTATGTGCGTGTGCTCTTCCTTAATTTTTTTCTATGAATAAAGCGCGTGCGTATGCAAGCCATCGGTTGCACTTTCAGAGCTCTGGTTCTTCTGATGCGGGGGTCAGTGCAACAGGCCGCAGTGATTGTTGTTCTTGATTGTTTTCTTTTATAGCATTGGTCTTCCTGTTCTTTTTACTGTGTATTTTTTGGCTATTTGCTGGGATATTTACAAGAGCTTTCTTGTCAATTAAATTTTGGTTTGGAGTCGGTACTTGTCCCGTCTTTCTTGTCTGTGACTGTGTTTGCGTGATGTAAACCTTAATATGCACGACCTGCTATCCCAGGCAGCTATAGCTGGAGTCTTCTTATGTGCAGGTTTTCACTGGAGGATCCATCTACAAAGGTGGCCCAGTGACTGTGCTCCACGATGAAGAACTCGAGGTAAGTCTCTTGATCACTTAATGGAAAGCTAGCATTATATACAAGGAGTGGCCGGACTTGGAGTGGAGAAGGACATTAACTGAGTATTCTGTGACGCCACTGTGGCGTTACGCTCAAACGAAGTCGTACTAGATCCACTGCGTTTGCACAAAGACTCCTCATAATTTGTTAGTTATTAGTGTGTTTGTAATGCAATGTAGACTTACCTTTAATGCACTGGGCTTTGTACATATACAATATGACCACCTAGCGTGGATAACCATCGCCGAAGCTTCGGCTACTCACAAATTTGAATGGGTCCTGTAGAAGGTGGCGCGCTTTCTATTTCCTACCAACACAGCATAATTTACCCTTTTTCAAAGCATGGTGCTCATGTACCTTGCAAGGATGCAACTAACGACTTTGCATTCTATTATGAATAATCATCGCAACTGGTTGTAAACATTGCAGTGATGTGGAGCTTCTCTGACTCGTTTGAGCAAGGCACCAAAGAGAAAATGTGTTCGCATCGAAATGAAAAAAACAAAAATAACTCTGGAATGTCCTATTACGATACATTGGGGACCATGGACACGCGCTGAAATACCTATTTCTTTGCGACATAATGGGTACTTAGTTGGCCTAATCAAAATGCTTTCTTATATAAGCTGTCCATTGTTCGTAATTAGATTCATACGAGAACAGCTTCAACATAAAATGACATACTTTTTCCCAGTTGGTGCTTTCAGAGCTCCGCGTTAAAATCTTGCTCGGGTAATTCGCCGAAGGATTGTAAACGTCCCAGCCTTTTAGCTGAAGGGTAAAAAACGTGTCGGAAGGCTTTTTCGAACCCTTTTATGGTGCACTAAATATCCAGGGATGTTCGAGACCGCTTCATTATGGACAGATTCATTTGAGGCTGCATAGTAGGCGCCTTTAATTGAAGTCATTCATCTAGTTTGTGTGAAGACGTCCTACTAACGTGTCCGCGTCAGAAGTGTTACCATATCAACGTCATGAAAATGGCGCTCCACGTCGATTTAAGGCGGATACGCTGGACATTGGGATCCAAGAGACTCGGCACAAGTGCATGCGAGATGTTGCGACGTAAATTAAGTTGGTTGATTGGTGACGTGCGTAGTTTCGCGCGAGTCTTTCGGAGCCCGAGCCATATACCGTGAATCCCTTGGTTCCACGAGCTTGCAATATTAACTTATGGTGATTCCAAGCAAGTACTAGGCGAGACTGATTTGAGCATGAAAAAAAATCCAGAGCTAAAGTGTGGTTTGAGTCGTGTGGTGCTAAGGATGGCGTGCGAATCGATGCGGCTGATAAGGTCACTGCTATCGTAATTAGACATACCATATGATCCGTAAGTATATGTAAGGTATAACAGAGTTGGTCGAGTTCTATACTCTTCTTGCAGCGACCATCAAAGAGCGCAACCAGAGCCTTATTCACAAAATGCTAAGTTTCAAGAGAACAGACCACTCGGGCGCTTTACACGCCCCAGTGAGCCGGTGCATGCGTATATGCAGTCTGATACAATTCCATTGTCGCGTAACGGAACGCCTGTACGATGCCACGTTATCGCACGAATTAAAGCTGAATTTAAGGACTTGTTTTGTTTTTTAGCTACAGTATTGATGTGAACCAATCGACACTCAAGCAAAATGAACTATGTGGGCCATTATTTGTAGCAATTCTCTTAAAAATTTGAGGAAATTCAAGTGAACGGAAAGACCACTTGCCTCCGGCAGAGACCGAACGTGCAATATTCTAATAACGCTCTACTTATTGAGCTATAGCTTTGTTCGTCCTCCGTTACACTTCATTACGTGTACACGTGTTTTTTGAACGTGAGAAGGTTAATCGATGACGCTCGTGACCATGACGTTTTCAAGTCGCATAACCTATATAGACGGCGCTCCGTGAATTTTGACGTAAGCCTGTTTCCTCTGGCGGGAGTTGTTGCGTGTAGGTGGTTATAGTTTCAGTATGGCCTTTCTCGTTATTGTTTTCGTATATTACACAATTACCAGTCCTTTTTGAACTTCATCTAGGTTCTTGTCGACCTCTAAGCTTCACCGACACTACGTATTTTAGACCAAGCATAAACTTCCACGTTTCCTTCTCTCTTGCACAAGGATGAAGTTTCCGTCAAATGCGGCAGTGCCTAATCGTGCAGAGGTGCGGGAAATAAAGACAACCTTGTTTTCCGTGTAGGTTCGAAAAAGTCCTGGTTCAGGCTAGAACGCAGCGCATTATAAACACACAACTGCGACATTTTCACCGTCAATAATTCCGAAGGCGAGATAAATACATGGGAGGGAGGAGTGCAAGAGCATGAGACACACAAGTTGAATTCTTTTTACAGCTCGGGCCCCATGCCAGCGTTACATAATACTTTAATATCCAACACTTCTCAACGTCACTTGGCTTATCTCGTGCTGCCGGCGTAATAAAAACTGAACTTCGAGAACGCCGCAATCCACGGCACTCTAGCATGCTCCAATATCGAGGCCTATAGGCCTACACTGTAGGTAGAGAAAATTGAGCAAGAACGATGTTTCTGTAACAAAATTGCCCCTTGCATAAGCAGTAGCCGTGGCAACACACATAAATGTTCTGCCTGTTGCGGTAAACTCTTCAATGTCCGCATGAATCATCGCATCTTTCAATAAACAGCGTGCGTGGTACCTGTCTAATGTTTGAATAGTCTTCGTCCAACAGCGTGCGTGGTACCTGTCTAATGTTTGAATAGTCTTCGTCCAGATTTACGTGTGGTGAATGCCTGTAATATTTTCTTTTTCTCTGTTCTCGTCACACATCCCTTTTGCCTGGTTTTCTGCGTTGTATATAATCTGGCATATTTATCAAAACAAATCATTTCCTCCAAAATTCACCATCGCACTGATGACACCACTTCCGCAGTCTGTTGCCTCGTAGTGTTTAAATGGAGTGTCTGCTTATCGCGTACCTAATGTTCAAACAATGTCTTTGTTTTGTAAGGTTCGTGTTTTTTTTTTCAACAAGATTAAGCTGTTCTTATTTTACCCCACAGGAGCAGCCTGAGAGGTGTGTTATCAAAAACAAGGCTATAGAAGGTGCTGCCCAGATGTTGCAGCTTAGTCTGGACGGCAAGCGACTCTACGCCACCACGTCGTTGTACAGCGCCTGGGACAAGCAGTTCTACCCGGAGCTTATAACGTAAGCGTGACTACGCAAAACGCTGCTGTATTCTTGAATTTTTTTTTCCATGGCAAGTTAGTTTGAGAAATAACTCAATCGTTTTCACTACTGATGGTGCTTGGTATACGTATTAGGGGACCAGAAAATGCGTCCACAGCATCGGCGCCTTATTCGGGCTCGAACATCTCATCTTGGGGAAGGAAGCTTTAGCGGTCCTAGGGACAGAACTATGCCTCGAAGTAAAACATCCGCGAAGAGAGGGACACGACGAAGGGACAAGCGGACGCGTCCTTGAGTAAACTATCAGCTGGGCCAGCAAACGCTATGGTTGAAACGCAAGTACTCTTTGTAACGACTGCCTTTCCGATTTATGGGGCATAATAATGTGTAGTATATCAAGTGCCGTAGGTTTGAAACACCAGTTCCTGTCCCAGGCTGGGATTCCACGTTTTCTGGGTCTATACAGATCCAAAACGCAGCCTGAACATCCGCATCTTACGAGCGAGCGATGTTTCGTACTCACGCTCCTATTTTTAGTCTTCCATTGCCTGCGTACCCTGACATTTCGCGTTTAAGCTTGGTCTTCTATCACTCGCTCCGAGGATTGAGTAGGATTGCGAAGTATGTGCGAAAAAAGTCTCCACACATTCGGAAGTGAAAGTTTAGGAAGCGTATAAGCTGCTCAAACTGTTTCTCTCCCTATACAAATGGTATCTTGGAGTGCCATTTCGTGGAATGGCTTGTTTCGTCCCTTCTGCTCTCGAATTTCACGTAGGCTCGCGAAAAGGTCGTGGCTAGGGGATGGGTTTTACGTATACCCAAATGACACCACTATTGGTCATAAGGTACACCTATCTTTCCTGGAAAGCCCATCCAAAAACAGGCCGCATCTAGACCATTTTCTTTGTACAACTTTCGACGTTATGTGTGGGGCATATCAACTTCTTGGAGGTGGTAAGGAACTACACCGAGATCTACACAAATAGGTTGAAAGACTTGTCCACCTTTAAAAGACGCATATCTTTATAACGCATTTTCGGTGAGCTTTGCTATACGGGGACTTGAGCCGGAAATTCCCGCTTTGTGGTCGTTACCTTCGTAAACTGTCGAAATAGACGCTTCTGTTGTTACCATTCTCACGGAGGATCTACTTGACTGTTTTCAACGCTACGGCCACTTTCGCCACCATATATAATATCATAAATATAATAGGATTTAAAATATACACGCGAATGCCGGCGGTGATTGCAAAAAAAAATAGCCGAGACTGTTCATATTGTATAATTGCTCTCGCAATAAAACCTGCCGCCGACAAGGACTCAACCTACAACCGTCAACTAACGCCCTGGACGGTATTATCAAATGAGCTACGGCAGCAGTCGTTTACTCGTCCGGATTAGCGAGTATTTATGCGCATCTAAATTTGGAGCGTCAGTCACCGCAGCTTGCAGCCATAACGGCGAATGTGGAACACTTTCTTTTTGTCAGAAGCCAATGTTGATGTCCACTAAACATCTGTTAATTCTTTTAAGTTTAAGAGCACGTTTTTTCTTTAGGCCTTATAAATCGGAACTTACCTTTAATGACATGAACTTACCTTTAATGAAGCTTTAACGAGCTCATAGCTGACCATCCAAGAAACCCTCGCGTACTATTCGAGTGCATGAATTCTGCTGGAACAAGACCATCACTATGAATGAACGGGAATTTGAGGGATCGTTTCTATGACACAACCGCAATGAAAACCAGCAGATCATGAAGGAAGGTTGCTGCTCATCATCATGAGACATAAGACATATTGGCGGTGCAGTTAGAACAGGCCAAATTGGAAAGTAGGATTACCGCCACCGAAAGAAAGCCAAGCTAGACGAACCAGCTGTGAATGAAACCCTCGTGCCATCTCTGTGCTTGCCCAATCGGCAATCACTTTGGTAGTGACGTTCAATCCTTCACCATGAATGCCATTTTGTGTGCGAGAAACTTTGCACAAGTTACGTTCCAAGATCGCTCAAGAACGCATTGGTAAGAAGTAGGCTGCGTACAACGCGAATGAAAATTTCGAATAAAGTTTCAATGAAAGCTTCAAACTGAATTGCGTACAAGTTGCAACCTTATCAAGCATTGCTGCTTTATTTTACGCTTTCTTTAGAAATAAGCCTTAGTGACCGAAGAAGTACACGAATAGGACATTCCAGATTGTTTCTTCTTTCGGCCCATCTTCCCAGTTGCCCAAGCTTCTGAAAGCGCGTCCCACGTGTTCTGTTTCAGACTACCCAGTGATCCGTCTCGCTGTTGGCTGACTGAACCAACTTTCTAGTCTCTTTCCGGAAGTACAAGCTACCTTATCGATGCTCGCATTGCGTGCGTGCACCTTTACTTTCACGGTGCGCTATGTCTCGACGTTCGCTGAAAGGATGGGTATACACTCCTACGCTCCGTCCCGCGTGAAGGCTGTTGCGAAAGGGCCAGGAGCTTCGTGAGAAATATTTCCGCAAACGTGGCGCTTTCAGAGCAGAGACGATCTTTCCTGCTTTTAGTGGCCGCTAATCCGGCCTCTATAGATTGTCCGAACACCCACGAAGCCGAAACTATACTCTTGTCGTTTGAGTCCGCACGCCTATACGCACTCTGCTGGCACTGCAGAATTCCCCAGCACACCGCCGTTGCTCGCTAATCTCTCTCTCTCTCTCTCTCTCTCTCTCTCTCTCTCTCTCTCTCTCTCTCTCTCTCTCTCTCTGAGATTGGCGAGAGAGATATTAGCAAGAGAAGAGAGAGATTACTCAGAGATAGAGGTGATCAGTGCGTTGCACCAGTGACTGTAAAACTTCCGAAGGCTACAGCGCAGCTTTAGATTACGTTATAGCTCTTAGATTGCGACCTTTTGCAGTGGTTTAATAACACAGAGGCCTGGTGGTGGACCTAGGATAGCACTGGAAGCGTTTGAAGTTCGAAGTAAACTTGGAAAGTGCTGTTAGGAGAATACAGCAATGCACCCGTACTGCGCATCAACACCGCTGCAAGAAATTGCGCTGTGAAGGGGCATTATTTCGAACAGATTCTGCAGGTGATCGCGCGTCTCAACTCTTCGTTGGGATGATAAAGATTGCCGCAGTCGTATGAAAGTAAGTGGCATATTCAGCTCAACCAACGAGGTCCTATCTTCATTTGAATGGGGCCCCGCCGCGGTGGTCTAGTGGCTAAGGTACTCGGCTGCTGACCCGCAGGTCGCGGGTTCAATTCCCGGCTGCGGCGGCTGCATTTCCGATGGAGGCGGAAATGTTGTAGGCCCGTGTACTCATATTTGGGTGCACGTTAAAGAACCCCAGGTGGTCAAAATTTCCGGAGCCCTCCACTACGGCGTCTCTCATAATCATATGGTGGTTTTGGGACGTTAAACCCCACATATCAATCAATCATTTGAATGGGTAAGGATCAAGTTAAAGTGACTGAAAGAGTAAAGTGATTGATAGGGTTGAAAGTGATTGATAGGTTAAAATGGCGGCTTCCTCGGGCAAGTTTATTATATTTGTTTGTATACAACACTGAATGGCAACAAAGCACAACAAGCTAGTAGTTAGGGTTACTTACTATTTCAACGTTTTCAGTGAAACATTTCTTCCATGATTAATTATTGTTGGTTCTTAATTGTCTTTTGTTATCATTATTTGTAATTAAAACATCAAAATCCTTCGTTTTGCTTTATCCCTTAAAGCAACGTGACGTTTTTTTTTCGAGGTTTCTTCGCAAGTTCAAGTCGGTCCTATTCAATCGAACCAGTATTGTGCGAGTTGTTCGTCAGGCAGAAAATGCGTCAACTCAGATTACCATTCCGCCCACTCAATTAAACGAGGAACTGTTGTGCAACGGGGAGTCTAACGGCAGGGGTGAGCTTCTGAAAGAAAAAAAAAAGTTCATGGTAATCTTGTGAGAATGTATGCGATTTTGTGGCTTTCACTTTTAAAGGGCAGTAAAAGTTGCTTACGTGATTGACTGCACTTGAAACAGTTCCATTGCTCGAAATCGCTTCAGAGGAAGTGTGTACAATTGTACACAATAACTGCGGAGACGCGTCACGGCCCACCAGTTTCATCAATTCGTTTTTAACAAAGTTTGCATATTTGTACAAGCTTTCGCAGTGAACAGTGAGCAGGAATTTCACTTCATTGTGCTGCGTATAGCTGTAGAAGATCTTTTTGCTGAAGACACTTCAATGTTCGTGATTGTTCAACGTGACGCGTTCCAGGACGAACGTCAGCAGTATTTTTATTTGTTTGCTCGAAATAAACGAATGAATGAACATAAAACTTCTGGATGAGCATTCTGAGTCTAATGATACTACTTATGTAAGACTTGAAACTAACTAGTTGCAGAATGATTACATATCTAACTGAACACTAATTAACATTACGGAGTGTTGCGCAAAAGAACGTTTAGACTCGTGCTACTGACAGTACTCTAGATAAGCTCTTAGCTATATTTCATTTTTTTTTCGTTAAATCTGTGTACGTGTCTGTCCAGTGTCCGTGTTTTTTTTTATGTTATTTTCCCTTTATTTCGCCAGTCAGCTAGTGATAGGCGCTTTTTATCTCCCTGCGCCTTACATTGTATGAAACTCTAGGTGCCTCTTCCCCAAACAGCGAGCTGTTTTCAATGTCGGCGTACCAACGGAGGTTTACACTACTGAATACTAAGTGCAGACATTAAGTGATATAGTGCGTGCATGCGAGAGTGATGCGTGACTGCACTGCACAAAGCTCGCCCGCGGCAGAATGCGGTGGCAATCTAAACAGGCTGCTGATAAGCCGGTCGGGAACCTTGGAGTTGTTTGCTTGTGGTATACCTTCAAAAAGGTCAGATTTGTTGCGCCACTCCACTTTGTGCCCTGGCGGTTTAAAAAGCGAAAGCATTTCGCCCATCTTCGCTTTAAACCGGCCGTCTCAACCCCGTGAGGTAATTTAACGCGCGAAGCAACCTACTCCCGGGCAAACGATCAGTACGAAAATTCGTCGTTTAACATGCTCATTGGGTTTACCAAGCGATTTGATAAAACATGTGGGGCAAGTAGCTTCTTACTGTGTGAAAGGTATGGTACAGAAAGGAGTTGCGAGAGGTACGCATTTTTTGTTTGTTTGTGCAAGATGTGCCAAGCTCACTCGGAGCTCAAGCCCACATGTACATCCCGGCAGTTCATTCGGCCTTAGCTTCCCGTATTTTTGTTTGTTTCATCAAAATGGCTTGTTTGTGCTGCACGTTTTGGTTTGACAGATTGTATCGTGTCGTTCACGCCGTTTTCTTTCCTCAAATCCACTAGGATGCAAGGACGTTTTTTTTTTTTTTTGCTCTTAAAACCACTCTTTTCGTTTATACAAAGCAAGACCCCCGTGAAATTCTCCGGACAGCGTACAATAAGCTCTTCGTAAACGAGACATTGCTGTAATTTTGCGCAATGTGGACCATTCAAGAGAACGATTGAAGTACTTGCGCTCATTTATTCCCCTTGTCAACCTTGCTGATACAGTTTGATTAGTGGTTAAACTCAACCTTTTGGCCTTGCCTTTTCGTCATGTAGTTTTCGTTTTCGTAAGTCAAGCGTTAACAACAATCTAAAGGCTGGCTCTCTCTTTCTCTCTCTTTTTCTTTTTCTTTCTCTTTCTCTCTTTCTCTCTCTCTCTCTCTCTCTCTCTCTCTATATATATATATATATATATATATATATATCTTCTATTACATATTGCCACATTTCATCCTTAGATTTCATTATCGCCCGGTTACACTGCTTGTAATTCTCAGCGCAAACCACGCCTGCAGTGTTCGAGAGGCTTCAGGAGTGTAGTAGATTGTTTTGTTAAGATCGCGCCCGCTTCGTCGACATTACAGATTATTCTGGAACCTGTGGCTGCTGGCGATAACGCTAGAATAGCTGACAGCACGTGTCCTTAAGTAAACGCGCCTCATCGCTCGTCAGTTTTATCGACGGCCGACGCTATGTTCGCCGCTATCAATGCCAGTATCTTGTTGTAATACGACTTTTTTTGTGGCCACAAGTTATGCCTAATACTCATCTGACCGTCCAGTCTGCGCCCTTCGTCCACATCATGACCCCGGGACAATATGTTGCAGTGTTTTTCTTTAGTTCCTCTCTTTTTCAAACACACCTTAAATTTTGGTGTGTATTAGGTACAGGTGCGCTTTCTTCCGGGTCTCGTCGGTTTGTGTAACTGGCACAGCAGAACACGTGAAGCTACCTCCTGCTGTCCGTAGCGATAAAAAGCAGATTCGTTTCATACATAAACCGAATTATTGAAGTTAAGAAACTTCCTAAATTGAGTTTTCTTACGGTTTGCAAAGATGTAAAAAAAGAAAAAAAAAAGAAACTCTCGTGTATGCAACTTTCATGTAAATGTGAGTACAAGGATATCCTAAATTCCACTTCCTCCGCTGTGACATTCCTGTAGCTATACTGTGGTTTCAGTACGTGAAACATCTCAATTCAACTGATTATCGTGGGGAGAGAGAGGGTGTTTGTGAACCATCATTTTCACTGGTATAGCGCACCACAAGGACACACACAAAGGAGAGATGCACACACACACAGCGCTAACTTGCAACTAATGTTTTATTTGCGATCACACACGCTGTTTATACAACAGTAGACCGATAAAACCTGGATAATGTCACGTCAAGAATACAGCACAGCCCATGCACGTGTCATCACCGATAGCGACAATCTACACTGGCCCGTCAAAATGAAGATTCCAGATACTTCTTTTCTTTAGATGATAATGCTATGGAAGCCACACTCGCACATTTTCTTTCATTTTGTCTATTTCGAAAGCTTCAATAATTTCACGTGTGGTTTTGTCACGGGCCTTAAAGAGTATACGGGTGTTTTGCAACATAGGGACGCAACCGCACCTCTGACAGTGCAGGGTCAAATGACCACATACACCTCTTTCTACATTGGCCTATGTATTCGCAACCGCAAGTCAAAGGAGTACAAGTACAATCTGGAAGGTGCTGTAGTGAATGAAAGTCTTTCTTTCTCTCCCCCTCTCCCCCCCTCTCTCTCTCATATATATATATATATATATATATATATATATATATATAATATATATATATATTGTTTCTTTGTCGAAAATGTCGCGCTACGTACCGTTAAAGAAATTGTGGTCTGTAAGCTGCTTAGCAAATAAGCACTATTGTAAGTATTTAGGTATCCCAAAACAGTATTTTATTTTTATAGGCAGTAGAAACAACTTGATTTTGTATGTTGAAAGCTAATATATATATATATATATATATATATATATATATATATATATATATATATATATATATATATATATATATATATAATGTTCGCCGCTATCAATGCCAGTATCTCGTTGTAATATGACTTTTTTTTGTCAAGTTCTGCCGATGGACTCATCTCACCGTCCAGTCTGCGCCCTTCGTCCGCATCACAACCCCGTAAAAATGTTGCAGTGTTTTTCTTTTTTAGTTACACTCACCTTTTAAACACACCTTAAATTTTGGCGAGTATTAGGTGCAGGTGCACTTTCTTCCGGGTCTCGTCGGTTTGTGTAACTGGCACAGCAGAACACGTGATGCTACCTCCTGCTGTCCGTAGCGATAAAAAGCAGATTCGTTTCATACATAAACTGAATGATTGAATTTCAGAAACTTCCTAAAATTAGTTTTGATAAGGTTGGCAAATATGTAAAAAAATGGTAAAAGAAGCTGTCATGTGTGTAACGTTCATGTAAATGTGAGTACAAGGGTATCCTAAATTCCACTTCCTCCACTGTGACATTCTTGTAGTGATATTGTGGTTTCAGTACGTCAGACATCTAATTTCAACTGACAATCGTGGTGGGTGAGAGAAGGGCTGTGTGTGAACCGGCGTCTGTGTAACCACAGGCTTGCTTCACGGTACGAGGATGGGCAAGGGCATTACGACTGCAAAAGCGGGAAGCAAATAAAAGGAAGAACGTGAGCGAATACTAAACGCGCTAGTGCACCTGATACCAATATTTACAACAAGCGCGCGTGCATTGACTCGTCATGGTTTAAAAGCCAGTGTCATTGAAGTGCGATTCAGCATTGAAGCGATGTGGACGGTCTCGCCAAAGTCTGTTTTCTTGCACCGCAGGAAAGGCGCCTCGATGCTTCGCGTGAATGTGGACAACACCAAGGGTGGCCTGTCCATCGACCGCGACTTCCTGGTCGATTTCGGCAAAGAGCCCGGCGGTCCCGTGCTGGCACACGAAATGCGCTTCCCGGGTGGAGATTCCACGTCGGACATCTGGCTCTGAAGGCAGCAAGGCAGACGCTTGGAAACCGGCCGAACACTTTCGATCCGAATCCTGCACGAATTCGATCTGTTTCGCCCGAGGAAGGTGGCTTTGTTTGGTGTAGTGGGGAAGATAGGATGTGTAGTGTTGTCGACTTGTATCGGAAATGGGTCACCCTTACTACTTTCAAGGGTTTTTTGAAATCTACTATCTAGTTAAAATAATTGACTTGTGAAACGGTCTTTTTTGTTAATAAAATTTTTAAAAATAATTTTCTTCCTTGTCACGGCAATTTTCGCGAAAAAAAAAAAAAAAAAACACGCCAGGCCTGCGCAGTAGGCGCAGCACACTCACAACCAAAGCTAGAAGAGCGGCCTTTCAGAGCCTTTTCAAAACACTCATTGGTTGTACACTTTCTTGGTACCCACTAGGGCATTAATCATAAACTTTGCGTTAGTAGGCCGGCATACACTATGCTATTTTTCGTCATTCTTCTGAGAAGCGTGGTATCCGCTAAACACTTGCAAGGAATTTCGTGCCAATTGTTCATGCAGTAGCTGACGACGATGAGGAAATATGGCTGAAGTGGGTATGCGGCACAGTTTATAGGGCAAGGACAAGCTTTTGTAATGTGTTGGAACATTGGACGGCCCACTAGTTACGCTATTCGCATTGTGCGACGACTGGTTGTTCTGTCGCTGTTGTAAAACGCTTTACAAGTCGTATCAACGCGATTGCTTTCCCGACATCAAGCCTGCCTAAGGCAAGTTTGACAACAAGTCACAAGCAACGGTGTAGCTCAGTGGTAGAATACTGGGCTTGTACCCAGCGGACCCGGGTTAGAGCCTCACTGTGTCATTGGTGCTAGGTCATGCCTGCCTAAGGAAAGTTTAACAAGTTAAAACACCAGCGTAACTCAGTGGTAGAATATTGGGCTGCCACGCAGTGGACCCGGGTTCAAGCCCCACTGTCATTGGTGCAAGCTTTCTTTTTTTTTCGAATTTCGCACGATGTAGTTACGGGCGACGGCAGCGGACGACTGCGCGTGACCTGAAAAGTGATCTCATAACAGCTTTCACTGTAAAACACTTCAAGGAGATCGCATAAAATCGCAAACAAAACTGGGCTATCGCTTCAAAAACGTGGCATGGATTTCATAAAGAATACACTGAAAGCTTTTTTCGCTGTTTCTAAAGCGTATAACCACGACCTTCCCTTTTTTTTTTAGTGGCTGTGGTTTATCAGTATGAAAATGGGTGATGTTCGCCCGAAAGTTACTCGGATACCTTTTTAACACAAATGTTTTTTCGTAGCCATATCTAGCTATGAATTTTGAGGACTAAGCAAAGCTCCGATAGGCGGCTGTGTTTTATTTTTCAAAAATTTTACAGCATGCCGAGCTTGGGGAAGAATGTTTACCGATTAGTATATTTATTGAAAAAAATTACATAATGCATTAACACAATCCTATGCTATTTTAATCCAACTGGAGTGCTTTATTTCACACCTTCTGATAAGATACAAATATAGTTGTTTTGTTATTATAAAAAACATGACTGTTGACGCAGCGCATATTGTTCAACATTTTTTTTTCTGTTAGAGCAAACACACAAGATTTTTAGCGCACGTAACGGAGCCAAGGCATACAATCGCTGATGAAAAATGTTCAGGATGGCCACTATTTGTGTGTGTGTGTGTGTGTGTGTGTGTGTGTGTGTGTGTGTGTGTGTGTGTGTGTGTGTGTGTGTGTGTGTGTGTGTGTGTGTGTGTGTGTGTGTGTCGACAATCAGTGAACGAATGATGTCGAAAAAAAAAACAGCTGAGGCTTAAGGAGAAAACTGCACAGTAGGAGGGCGGTATACCGTGGGGCCATGGTAACAACGCATACGCGCTCCTTGCGTTTCCGGGAACAGGAATTCCCGAATAAGTGACGCTCTTGTTTTCTCAACGATTCTTCAAACGAACTAAAAACGAAGCGAGTCGACGTTGGAAAACGGGTTAGTGCGGGGGAAAAGAAGTGGAAAAGGAACAGTCGGTTGGGTAACTCATCCCTACGGAACTATCTTTGTGCTTGCTAGCGCTGTGTAAACATACGCCGTCCATTAAGGAGATTTGGTGGTACGCTTCAGAGCGCATGCACGATGATGCCTTTGTGTGAGCGCTTGCACAATCCCGGTGTGCAGCGTAGAAAGCTGGTTTCTTTTTCTCTCTCTTTTTTTAAATGCTTCGCTGTTCTACTCTTTGTCAAGCGTAAACGTGTTTTGCCAGGGAGGGAGACGTTCAATTGGGTAGCTCGAAGGAGAAGCCGTGTTCTGTCTACTCAGCGTTCCCTTCCGCTGCGCTTTCTCATTATGAAGGCGCTAGGTTTGAACCTTAAGGTTTGCTTGGAGTAAAAGAATCGGTGCTCCTCCGAGAAAGAGCAGGAAAGAAGAAAAAAAGAAGTGGATGGTTCACTGATAATGGCGCTGGATGTCGATAATCAAACGAGAGTTTCGCTTGTTCAAGGAGCTGAAATCGCGTGTTTTCTCGGGCGAAGATGCGCTCACAGACATCGACGTTCTCGCGAATCTCGAGAAATTGGCGTTTTAGGTATGCGTCAGCAGGTCGCGAGGGTGGAGCGCTTTGAGAGCGCTGGGCTTAGGCGGCTGTTTCTGGGCTTTACCTTGTTGCCCGTCGACTAGCGCAGCGATATATCTCCGGGCTCGCAGTTCAGGATGCCTCATCAGCGGGGGTTGCCTGCATCGGCACGTGTACTTCCACGCTTTCGTGGTGCTCCTTCTGGCCGGCGTTCAGCGTCAAACACAGACTCGTCAATCACGGGGCTGTGGAGCGTTTCGTTTTGCAAACACTTCACAGCAGCACTTGATTAGACTCCCTTGGTACTCTACGGGCGCATCACTACGGATAATTTAGAGTACTCTAGTCTTCACTTGACTATCATGAGAAGTCTTCTCGTCGAGGAGTTGGCTCCGGTGACTCTTCTCGCTCAACAATTTTTTATTACTTCAAGTGTACATACTCCCTTTGACCGCTGTCGTTTTTTCAACAGCTGAGATGGTCCCGCTAGGTGGAGCACCGCTTGGCGACCGCACAAGTCAAACGAAGCGGGAGAGAGGGAAGCTGGATGAGAAGGAGAGCCGAGCAGAGCTATTAGATGCATCTATACCAGAGTAAGTGCCTCCTAAAGCATGGTACAGTATTTCAAGGGGGTGGCAACGTGAGAATGGGAAGGAGGAAAGGGAGGAAGGAAGGAAGGGTGCAAAGCATAGCATAGCATAACCATTCCCTCTTGAAGTGGCAGCCAGTTACTTCAGGCGTAACGGATTAGCGCAAAAAAGAGAGCAGACAAGGTGAAGACAAAGACAGGAGGCGTCCCTAATCTATGTAAATAATATAGTGATGTACAGTATAGTATAGCATAGTATAGTATATTGCATAATATAGTATAGTAGAGGCCCCGCCACGGTGGTCTAGTGGCTAAGGCACTCGGCTGCTGACCCGCAGGTCGCGGGATCGAATCCCGGCTGCGGCGGCTTCATTTCCGATGGAGGCGGACATGTTGTAGGCCCGTGTGCTCAGATTTGGGTGCACGTTAAAGAACCCCAGGTGGTCGAAAATTCCGGAGCCCTCCACTACGGCGTCTATCATGATCATGTGGTGGTTTTGGGACGTTGAACCCCACAAGTCAATCATCAATCAGTATAGTAGTGAGTATCAACAAAGAGTAAGGGTGAGGATGGTAGAAATGAGGAGAGAGAGATAGTGTACAGCAAAACATAGCCATATACTGTAGACTAATGCCAGGGGGCAGAAAGGGAAGTGGGGCAGAGGAGCAATGTTGTGAGCGTGAAGTAGAGGAAAAGGAGGAGGAGAAAGGACACAGAGTAATTTAATGGACTCGAGCAGGAGGTTGCAGACACGCTAGAAAGGTCAGCAGCTCGGCTGTATGCTCACTGTTTGCAGCCCTTGTGCGTGGCTGCCCGTATTTCTCGGGGTTTATAAAAAAAAAATCTTATTAAACGATGTATGCCTTGTAATCACTTACATTGACTATATTCGTCCTGGCCTCGATATTTTACACGTATAAGTTCCTAAATTCAACGTGTATATTGTACATGTATTCGAAATGTACTTGGAAAACAGAGCGCTGATACCATGTTTGAGACAATACAAAACACTGTTATGACTAGAATTTAAATTAAGTCATATCCGATTACCTGAGATAACCCCTCCTGTTTCGTTGTGTGCGTGCATGGTATGCGCGAACCATACGTCCGTTGTTCTGTGGGCACTGTGTCACGAGAAATTAAAGCAATATGCCGATGCACACGTAAATCTTTCGGAACTGACTCGCAAACCATCGATTGGAATGATTTGTGAAAAATAATGAAAAGTTGAACTTAATAGTAGTACTCTCAACGTATCTTCCACTCGATGATGAATCGAAGTAGTGTTCTTTGCTCAGTTATTATCCCGATCAGGGTTTCTCTCAATCAATATTCCAAGCCCACGATTATTTATCTTCACAGACGTTATAACTGGCGACCATTTTCGAGGTGAATGTTGTTACCTGAGTGTGTTTCAGGCTGACCTAAGCTGGAAGATGAATGGACGGGTAAAGAAGCAAATACAAAGTAAGAAGTGTAGTGCCCATAATCCCGTACACCATAGGGTCAGCGTAGCTATGCTTGGACACTTTGGTATGATTCCTTCAGATGTAGAAGAATTAGATGAGGAGAAAAAAGGAGTGGAAGAGAGGTAGGGAGGTCCACCACGAGGGAATCCAGGTTGGATACCCACCACTTGAAAAGTAAAAGGGGCAAATGGTTGAGAGGATAAGAAAATTGTTGCTGTGGGTATAGGCCAACCTGTTAACGTTGCTCAATGTATAAAGACGGTCAACCGCTCAGGCAGGCTTGAGGAGGAGCCGAAGCGCCTTCGTTGATTTTAATGGTGGTTATCCGCAGGACCATAGTCCGAAGATATTGTTGACCTCCGTACAGCTCTAGATCGGCCGGACGGGAGAGCTTTCAGTTACCGCAGAATTGCTCACATCGCCTGAGTGCTGTTGAGGTCAGGCTCCCTGTTAAGACCTTGGCTTCGGTATCAGGCCGATCGTAGGGCATGATCAAGCTAACTTGGAGAGCATAACATCATGGATTGAGTGGAAGCAATGACAAGGATAAAATACGCGTAGGAGCTCTACATGATATGAGAGTTTATAAATTGGGAAGTGTGCGTTATAACAGCAGCAAGCGTACAAGCAATCTA